TAAAAATCAACACCTAAACGTGAACCATGTTTAATAGCCTTTTCCAAATTAAAAGTTATACTAGCATCATTGCAGAGTCCGGAACCAAAATAAAGTAAAACTCATAAAAGCGATAAAGTAATATACCAAAAAATAGATATAGCACCTGGTGTACTGTGTTAGGGCATCTCCAACCATTGCACCATTTTTTTTTTTACACCAAAATGGTTTAAACACCAAAATGGTGCAAAGTAACTCCAACCCATTACACTATTTTTTACACCAAAAAGAAATATTCCCTTTATATTCTTCTTTCTCTTCTATATTATATTATTTTCTTTATAGAACAAATTCATTCTTTTTTCTTTCATATTTATCCCATATAATTCATATTTCTTTCTTATATAACCAGTTAATATAAAATTATTTTATACCTTTAATTTTTAAATAGATATAAATTATAAGCAAATATTATACATTATACATATTAATGTATAATTCAAATAAAAATGAAATCATTGATAAGATATAATTAAATAAATATTACATTATAGTAATATTTAGTTTAATTTTTACATAAATATTCAACTTACAAGATTAGTATGTTGCTCCCATAAATGCTCTATTAATGTATTACGAAGTGCAAAATGAGCATCTTTGTCCTTAATTTTTTTGTGCCGAGCTAAAAATTGTTTAAATCGGTAATTTTTATCTACTGTCATTTCTACTGTTGGAGTTGGACCTTCCCAAGCATCTTGAATTGGGGTGAAGAAAGCAAAATTGAAGAAAAAAATCGATGAAGGTGTTTCGGCTATGAAAATGGTCCAATTAGAAAACAATCGGCTTATTGAATTGTTGGCAAAGTCAAATGCAGACAGTCAGTGAGATATGGAGATAAAAGATAGAGCTTTGAAACTAAAAGAACTTAAAGAAGAAAATAAAATTTTATTCTCGAATTTAGATTCTATTGATGATCCAAATATTCGTGAATTTATTCGATAAGAACAAAAATGAATAATGGATAAAAGAAATCAACAATTTCAACAGCCACAACCACAACAATCCTCTGCCTCATACACTCAATATTTTAATGATATTGGTGGATCTGGAAGCGTCCTTCCAGAGTACTAGATTATTGTTGTAATTTTCTCATCCCATTATGTTATTTAATGTATTTTCAATTTAATCTATGTCAGTCGCTATTGTATTAAATATTTGTTATTATGATTATCAATAAACATTGTGTTATTTATTAACAACATATTATATTTCAGTTTTGTGCTTTTTTTTATGGTTTTATATATATATATATATATATATATATATATATATATATATATATATATATATATATAGTTGGTGGAACAGTACAGGGATAAGAAGAAGGATCTGCACATAGTGTTTATTGACTTGGAGAAAGCGTACGACAAGGTTCCTAGGGAGGTGCTCTGGAGATGTCTTGAGGTGAAGGGCGTGCCGGTAGCCTACATAAGAGTGATCAAGGACATGTATGATGGAGCTACGACCAAGGTTAGGACTGTGGGAGGCGACTCNTACACCAAGGCTCTGCGCTTAGCCCGTTCTTATTTGCCTTGGTGATGGATGCATTGACACACCATATTCGAGGGGATATGCCATGGTGTATGTTATTTGCTGATGACATAGTTCTAATTGATGAGACGAGGGCCGGTGTTAACGAGAGATTGGAGGTTTGGAGACAGACCCTCGAGTCTTAGGGTTTCAAATTGAGCAGGTCTAAGACAGAGTACCTGGAGTGCAAGTTTAGTGCTGAGTCGAGGGAAGTAGACAGGGACGTGAGACTTGGACCATAGGTCATCCCGAAGAGAGATAGCTTCAAGTACCTTGGGTCGATGATTCAGGGGTACGGAGAGATCGACGAGGACGTCACTCACCGTATAGGGGCGGGCTGGATGAAATGGAGGCTCGCATATGGAGTTTTGTATGACAAGAAAGTGCCACTGACACTCAAAGGTAAGTTTTATAGAGTTGTGGTTAGACCGGCCATGTTGTATGGGGCAGAGTGTTGGCCGGTTAAGAACTCCCATATCCAGAGGATAAAGGTAGCAAAGATGAGGATGCTGAGGTGGATGTGCGGGCACACTAGGATAGACAAGATTAGGAATGAAGATATTCGGAAGAAGGTGGGCGTGGCCCCTGTGGATGACAAGATGCGGGAAGCTAGGCTCAGATGGTTCGGGCACGTGCAGAGGAGAAGCCTTGAGGCGCCGGTAAGGAGGTGTGAGCGGTTGGCTGTGGTGGGTACGAGAAGAGGTAGAGGGAGGCCTAAAAAGTATTGGGAAGAGGTGATCAGGCAGGACATGGTACGACTGTGGATTTCCGAGGACATGGCCCTTGATAGGAAGGTCTGGAGGTCAAGCATTAGGGTTGTAGGTTAGGGAGTAGTAGAACTTTTCTTACTTCATACCGAGGGTGAGGCGGGTTGGATTAGGGTTGATCTTAGATGGCTTGCAGTTTATGTTGAATACACACTATACTTGCTGTTTATCTTAGCCCCGGGCCTTAGATACTGGTTACTGTTATTGCATGTCATTCATCTTTTGGTTGTTATGCTTCTGTTACTATTACTGTTTCTACTGGAGTTACTAATGAGTTGTCTTTTCTTGTTTTTTTTTATTTCCGTCTTTCTGAGCCGAGGGTCTATCGGAAACAGCCTCTCTGCCCTATCGGGTAGGGGTAAGGTCTGCGTACACATTAACCAAAAAAATATATAAAATATGTATATTATATGCAAATATATAAAATTTATATTTTGTTGGCTACTATTTTTGGAAACTACTACATATATATATATATATATATATATATATATATATATATATATATATATATATATATATATATATATCCTATTTTAATTGGGTTAATATTTGTTAAATTTACCGCAAAAAAAGGGTCCATAAGTACATAGGTATCATCCCTGTACATCAAGTCATAATAATTAATCCATACGCGTCTAACTTTTTACAATAGCAAAACAATATTACGGCAAGGTTGTAACTAGCTAGACCTGGAATTACAAACATGCATACATTTCTGTATTAATAATGGCTAATCAATTACTGCACTATTTAACAACCTTCTTTATCAATTTTGCAGCCAATTCAGCAACTACTTTTGTAGAAGAACCATCTTGACTCAGCACTTTAGCTACTGCTTCTTTAAGATCTCTCATTTTATTGCGCGCTCTTTTTCCTTCTTTACCTTGCATTAATCCTTCCACAACTTTAGCAATTTCCAATCTTTCCACCACTCCATTTTCATTGGCTTTTGGCCTCATGAGTGCCACTTTTATGTCCTCAGTTAACATAACCGCATTCATCTTTTGTTCTGCATAAAGTGGCCAAGCTATAAGCGGTATCCCATGGACCATGCTCTCCGGCGTGAGTTCCATCCACAATGAGTTAAGAATCCTCCTATTGAACTGTGGCTAAGAATTTGAGCTTGTGGGGCCCAATTGGACACCACTAAACCTAACCCTTTAGTCATTTCCAAGAACCCTAGTGGTAGAAAATCAAGAGGGTTTGTTGAATCATGGAGATTAAAATAAGTAGCATTGGCTAAAATAGTGCCTTTAGGGGGGCATCTAATTACCCACAAGAATCTCAACTGCCCATGAATCATTTGCAGTCGTAATGCAAATTCAATAAGTTGCTCATGAGAGAGGGTCCCACCGCTCCCGAAACAGATGTATAACACAGATCCACGTGGCTGTTCATCGAGCCACGTCAGACACTCCGACCCATCATCATTTTTACTACCCGAATCCATCTGAATAAGTGGTCCAATCGGGTAAACGGTGGGTTACCGGGTTCTTCTTGAAGAGCTTTAATAGCTCCACCTTCTAATTCCTTGAAACTATTCACTACGATTCCCTCAGCCATACTATACCTCTTTGCATGATGAAGAAGCCATTTGTAAGCTTCATTCTTTCGGTCCTGAACCGGGTCAAGAAGATCCTTCCATGAATAGGAATACAACCCGGAATCCGAACCGGGTCGTCCAAGTCCCTATACTCACATGACACATGAGTTGCATCAAGCTTAGGCAAGTAAAGAAACAAAGATAAAGCCATAGCTGTAGAAGGGTAAAATATATAAGGTGGAATCTTGAAATCAATGGCAATATCAAATGCATCAGTACCAAAAAGATCAACAACCAAAGCAACTAGTAATAATTTCTTGGACTCAACAAGTGACTTTAAGAATTCACGTAGTGAAGGAAGAGAACGTGTAACAGTAAGGGAGATTCGGGTTTCAGCTTTGACATTACGTGGCAAGTCGTCCAAGTTAACTGGAGGAAGTAGATGGTAATTGATGCAATTAGAGGGAAGAGAATTATCAAGGAAATTTTTCTGATCTTTAGAGATAGGTTTATTTGTTGGGAGGATAAGAGTGATAGAGAACTGGTGTTGAGCGATGAGTCGTTTGGCGAACTCTACCATAGGGATTAGCAAAAATGATGAAGAGAATATATGATTTGCTCTTTACTATATACAGAAAGTTTTGGGAACAGTTCAAAGTAATCAGATAAGCGCAGTTTAATCAATTTAAACACGTTATCACATGGTTAACAGCCAATTGTGAGAACACGATAAGCATACAAAATTTGAGAATAGATATTCAACATTAAAAGTCAACTATGAAATTTAAATAGATACAGGCTGATGATCTCACTGCTATTAATATCTGGACCTTAGTGAAAAATTTCGTCATATGCTCAGATCACACACAAGAAAAATCAACTAAAATTGCTCAAATAATTTTATTTTGTTTTGGTTGGTTGCTCGAATATATTTTAAACTCGGAGAAAAGAAATTAAGCATGCAAGAAAAGCAGATGAAAACTGGAAAGATGTAACTAGATATTTCATTACAGAGCACCTCATTACAACCAACAAAGCTGCAGAGCCAAAAACAAGCCATCCAGCCAAGATTTCAGATTATTAATCCACTGCCTCTCGAAAAAAATTGAACAGCGATAACCTGTAATTCACCTCATTCAAAACCATTGTATGTTTGCTTTATCTGAGAACCATTCACCAAGAATATATAAGACCCTAGAAGTAATAATAAATTTCAGAATAGAACAGCCACCGACATTTAACATTTGCAGTATTCATATAGAATCTCCAGCCAAATGAATGACATTTACATTTCTGAACGGAAGACCCTGTAGAAAAACAAAAATGGAACAACAGAACTGATCTGTGGCCTGCATTAAAACTAGCCACAAAGCTGTATGTATGATCTACTATATAAGGATTTCTCCATATGTCCTAATAAGCATGGCGAATATGTAACTTGAAGAGAATTCATGACCCCAATACAAAAGCATGTATCTCAGCCCAGCTAGAGGCAGTATAGAGAAAACCAGATAGTCCCTTCCAACAACTTGACGAGTCTACCCCAGCGCACATCTTCTGTTTCTGGACAACACCTGCAAACAGAGGAACAAAAGAAACACCAAAATGATTCCCCACCGTCCTTAGACTTGAGCTCGTACCAAGCACAATGCCAACATCTGCTTCAAGCAAGCAAAGTAAGTCGCCGACTGAATCCCCAATATAAACAGTCAGATTTTTTTTGTCATTGCTACAGTTCATTCGAATTTTACTGAATGCTTGAACCTTGTCAATGGGGGATTCAACTTTCTTAACAATTTCACCAGTGGATAGAGATTCTTGAAATATAAACTCATTGGCATGCACATTCAGAGCATCTATACCCCCTGTTCAGCAAAAGGCAGGAAAAGAGAACTGCTTTGTAAGCCAAAAAGGCAGGACAAAATTTAACATCACATTATTAATGACAAATAAAAACGATAACTGTTCAGTAAGACCCTCAACTTCTACGATAACGCAAACAAAATAGAGCTTATGTCATCAGCTTCGGAACCCAACTAAAGATTATTATAAGCATGCCAAGACTATATGAAGAATGTTCATATCTCTAAGCTTAAGAGGAAAAGATAAGTCAAAAAGGAAGGAGAACGCTTGACAAAAAAATAAGAACAGGGGAAAGCAAGGTAAATTTGAAAAACAAGGAAAATCAGCTTTTTCCTCCACTCTTTTCCACTCCCCTCCTCCTTTCTTCTCATTCATTTTGAAAGTGTTTTACTTTCCCATGGTACAAGAAAGGAATAGCGGGTGGAAGCAAGATTGGCGCAACGAAGGGGGACAAATGTCACTTGGCAACCAAAAAAAGTTTAGCAAACTTCCTAGCATATCCAGGTGCAACTAAGGTGCAATTAAGGAATCAGAAGACATTTGATAAAAGGTAGATCGACCATAACAATCAACCTACAGCAATAAATTTAGCAGATCTAGTGTGTACCCAACTGAAACATTATGATTAATGCACATGTTCAACTGAAGTTCCATTTTACTAAGTTGTCTTGGCAATGAAATACCTGAAGAAAAGGAAGACCTAATAAGGTCGCCACACCAGCAATAAGAGAGGACATGAATGTCTGCATTCAGATTTTCATTTCTTATTATGCTCTGGAAGAAGTTGGTGCAACCATCCTGGAGAATCAATCGCTTCCCAGCTCGTTTTATGTCTTCAAGGTTTAAACCTTTCAGTACCCCAGATTCAGTCACCCTAGTATTTGCCCTTTTCTCAAAATCAGAAAGTTCCTCAAGTGTTTTATGCAGTCTTTCATAATCAAATTTTTCCGCTGTAAGAGTAAGATTCTTAGAACAGGTTCATTCCAGCTGTTTTGCAATATTATGATATCAGAAGGTTGAAAACATCAAAAGATTAAGAAAAAGTATTACCTTTTTCAATAAGTAACATCCTCTCTATACATTGCTCATACTCTTCAGTGTACTGCTTAGAGAGATCTCCCCATGTATTCCTCAAATCAGCCGACAACATCCGCGCAATTTGATTCTCTTGTCGATTTTGATCAGATCTTGGTGCTGTTATAATTGCAATTTCAGCCAAGATGGCAGAAGAATCAACAACAGTGCATGTCAAATCGAAATCAGAAAATATTGTAAGCCGGTGCTCAGCAGGGTTGTGATCTTTTGACAAAGGGATGACAACTTTCTGAATAAGTGGCTGGGCTAAGAAGAAACCAATTTCAAGTTTCATTGCTTGATGATAAAGCTTTTCAATTATGTCAAGCTCCTCGCCTGTCAAAGGGACACTCAGTTTATCCAACAAGTCCTCTGTTTGCAGAGCTGATGCCTATTATTCAATAAACAACAGACTTGAGTTCAGTTAAGTAAAATGTGTATTATGTCATAAAATATTTTTCACAAGCTGAATTCATCAGGTTGACGATATAAACATCCACATACCTGGAAACCTTCAGAGGCATAACTGTCAATCCACTTCTTGTATGGATGAATTTTCTCTCCCTCGAGGAAAGCTTGCAGCTCCTTACCAATGTAGGCGTAAAGTCTCATGCAAGGAGTCATAGCACCTAGAGTATAAGCTGCCAACTTCGTTCTCTCAAATGGCGTGGCAAGTGTAGCAGCTTTTACTCCTTCAACCTTTCCTGAAGCTGTAGCTGATAAAAAATCTGTGTACTTGGCCGTTGCAGGGTTAAGAGTGCACTCTTTGACCAGATCAATGCCCCACTCCTATAGAAGCGATTGTGAAATGATTTATTTTCCCAAGCAAGAAGACAAGACATGCACATAAGAGAGTCTAGAATGCTACATAGGACTCAAGATGATCATAAACATTAACTGGTAACAATGGTTGCTATCACTTATCAGTAACAGCACCTCTTAACATCCTTGCCAAATTAGTTACACTCGAGAAAGATAATGAGATTGTGTTTTCTTGAATAGAAATGAAAATAAAACTCAATATGTAGCTCTCGTGTGTGATATGTGTGAAGTGCTTAAATATACAGTACATTAGGACTATATAAACATCTTGGCAGCTCAAAATATTAACTACAGTGAATCTACAATGATGAATCAGTTGGGCATTAACCATGGACATCATGCTATTTCTGAAGTATAGCAGGAAATGACTTGGATATTGGATAATCAAGAAGCTTGCCATGATAGTACAGCTAAACTAACAGTCTGCAGATAGTGCCATTCGTCTATTCGTTTAAAATTTTCCTCTCTTATCCTTTCTCCTACTGTATCCCTAAAAAGGAATTAGGATATCTTACCCATTCTTTCTTTGCAATAAGCACATAAGAATACCAAAATGCCTTGACTACTCATCGGCATTAAGTCTTATACACAATGCATAACCAATTTTCAGACAAGTCCTTCACAGCCCATTAAATTCAGGCAGACCTTATTCATCCAAGAAGAAAAATATCCCATATAACTATGATCTATGCTCATTTCAATTGCCTTTGCAGTGTTTAGGTTCCTCTGCCGAGTCAGGTTTGCATAGGACGAGACGAAGTTATTTTCTCTTAGTAATGTTTAAGAGTTAAATCACTGAGGCGAGAGGCGAGAAGCGGAGCGCTCGCCTTTTTGATGTGAAGCGACAACTTATACACAAAAATAAAATATTAACTTTATATATATATATATATATATATATAAAACTACAAATTCAATAGCAATAATATATTAATAAATATATCAATTAAAAACTCAGGTTTGAAGGAGCTCTCTGCCTCTGCCCGTGAAGGAATTGAAAAACAGAGAAAAAAAAAAGAGAAGAAGACAAAGGAAGGAAGAAAGAAAGAAAAAGCTCTCTGCTGTTCTGTTGCTCGATAAAGAACAACATAGCAAAAAAGAAGAAGAAGAAGAGAAGAAGAAGAAAAACGAAGAAAGAAAGAAAGAAAGAAAAGAGAAAAGGAGAAAGAAGAAAGAAGAAGAAAGAAAAAAAAAGGGGCAGAAACTCGAAGAAGAAGAAGAAAGGAAAAGAAGAAAGAAGAAAAGAGATGAAGAGAAGAACACCTGACGAAGAAGCTTGAAGAAGAAAGAAGAATCGCTGATGTGACTGGGTCGACTTGAAGGAGAAAGAAGAAGAAATAGCTGAAGCCCTAAATTTTTTTCTTTTAATCGCTGGTCTGCTGCCTTTTTCTTTTCTTTTTTCAAAAAGCGAGGCAACAGGAAGCCTCTCTCTATAGAGCGCCTCTCGCTACACAGGCAGAGGCGCTCGCCTTTTTGAAATCGCCACGCTACAGAGGCAAATAGCGCTGGAGGCTCGCATCGCATCGGCTCACGCTATTAGCGCTGAGGCGAGCGCTATTTACAACCCTGTATGCACCATTTTAGTACGGCAGAATTTTCTTTCAAAGAAAGCAATCACTATTTCAGATAGCTTCAAAGAAAAGGGAAAGGGATACATTTATGGTTTAAAATCCTCTTTAACAAATCTTAACTTAAAGACATTCTATTATCTTTTTGTAACCTCCATTTATATCTTTCAATAAGTTAATTATCCCGTAAAAAGAAGAATATGAAAGAAAATCTAAAAGGAAGATGAATTTGGGACCAAAAGGAATAGTCAGGAATTGATTTTTTCTTTCCCAAATAGTGAGGAATTGATTTTTAGGAATTACCTAAATTATAAAAAAACAACCATATCTTTGACTGCCAACCACTATTATGAGTTCATATGATCTCACATTTCCAATGTGTTGATGATACTGACTTCTTGCTTTCTGAAATACTTCAGGCTTTAGAGACCTCGCCATTCTTAATGTGCTTTTGAAACTTCAGGCTTGAAAGGTATCAAATGTTGGGTAGCAAGTATTAGCACCAATCTTTCCAGTTTAAACAGTAGGTGACAGACTGACAGTAACCAGACCTTTTTATCGAGAAGGATGTCCCTTAAGAGGTCAACGATGAAACTCTCACTTTATTGCATCCAACTATTGAAAGATCATTAAGAAGTTAGACAAACGGAAGTGTAACCATTCTTCCTTCCTAATTATATTGACTAGCACAAAGGACTAAGGAGTGGATAGCACTGCATATACACATAAATGATAGACCAAGCGTATAATTTGACCGACTTAAGGCCCGTCTTGCCACAAAGGAATATTATAATAATTGCTCTTCTACAAATAAGATTGCTTCTGTAAGGCGATCCCGGCGCGTTTCATTCTACTATTAGCATCTGTAAAGAGAATTCTCCCATATTTCTTCTCTTTTCACTGTAATCAATGACAAAAAGAAACCCATAACAACGGATATGCATAAGTGAAAATTGTATAAATTAAGATGAATTTCCACAATGAACAACCAGTCACCTTTTCAAGTGATGTTCTCATTTGGCCCTCCAAACTTGGACAAGAGGGAAAAGAAGTCGTAGAATTTGAGGAAAAGACGTTCTTTCCACTTAATAATCCCTCAGACTCATTTTTAGAAGTTTTCTCAAAGGGCATTGACGTTCAAAAAATTAGATAATTCGTTCCTCTTAACAGCTCTAACTCAAGGAAAACCAAGTTGTTCCTTTTCTTTTTGAAGGATAAAAACCAAGTTCTTCCTATAGCTTACAAATGTAAAAACCTCTTAGTTCCAACACTACAACCTGCCCTCTCCATTTTTAATAGAAAAAGAGAGGACATATGAAAAGCTTTTTCCCAAACACATAATCTCTATTGAGACCTCAAACTCCCGACATAACTGGCATGCAAAAAAAGACACTAAAATGATCTTTTGGCATGAAACATCATTGGTAGAAAGCTCTGGTCACAGAGTTGCCACAGTCTCATTTGATAACTAGGAGCAAACTATATTGTTTTTTTGCCAACTGCTATGCCCACTAAGCTCTCCGCGTAAACCACACCATCGTGTACCCAAGATGTATAAGTGAAATTCACTGGAAAAACACATTTTAAAGTACTTCAATATAGACTGACAAACACATAATCTCTATTGAGACCTCAAACTCCCGACATAGACAAGGTATCTTTACATCTAAAGACTATTCACACCTTACATCAAACAGATGTTAGATGGTCAACTAACATATGCATATAAAGATAGCTTTTGTGCTAATAACTGTATCCTAAAAGTATGCCAGTGTAGACAATTGAAAGATTGAGAAAACCTGTAGTTTTAGATAACCACTAATAAAAGTAATATTAAAATGATTGAACCCAAATACAGCAGAATGATTATAGAGGATTCACATAGCAGACCCAAACTTAATTTGGGATTAGGCTCAATTGATTGATTTACTGTATACTCAAAGTAATGCCTAAATATCATCCACCCCGCATTCTAAACAAAAGGTTGGAAAATGCAAACCTTATACGCACATCCGCACCCATACCCTGGTCCACATAACATACTGCTGAATGGATTACGAGAGAGATCCATTTCACCAGGTTGTGCGCAAATGTATATAGTGCCTTCTAAGCTACTAAACTTTTCAAGGTTGAAAGACTAGTTAAGCTCTTAATATAGTGATGTAGCCAGATTTGAATTTATCCAATTCCTAAGAAATATTTTGAATAGTGAGGATGCAAAAGCTAAAGTTGGAGATGGAAACTTAAGTTGGCACAATTATAAGTTCATAACTAAAGTAATTTTTACATCAAACTTCTCCCAGACATCAAAGTCCCTGTAAGTTTTAAGATAAATGACCTAGTCTTTTTTTAAGCATCGACAGATGAATGTACTCGCTTACATGGAAATGGTAATAAATTAAAAAAGAGAATTATAGATCACATTCCTTTCCGACGAGCCTACTCAAGATTAAAAGAAAGCCAGATGTATGCTTCGTCTACGGCTAGAACTAAGCAAAAGCTTCATGTTTTGTTGCAAAAGCAAATTGAACAGACAATACAAATGGGTAAAAGGATCCAACATCCCTTTTCCAGCGCATTCAAAACAAGGGTTTAAGTTAAATGACTGAGGTTAAAGTCAACCATATCTCTCAGGAGGAAAGAAGCAACATTAAATTTGTGGACATGGCCATACAAATCACAAAGTGGTGAATGAGAAACTTGGATTTAATGGAAAAGAAACTGGGTTAGTGACTCATATCTTACTTTTAAAACTGCATCATGCATTTTAAGTTCTTCAATAACATTCTTCCGCAATTCACTAATGCCAATCTTCGCATCGTCATCGTCAGTACACTCTTCTGCAGCTTCATACCTGCAGGTTTTTTTTTAAATCTTAACAAACTTCTTAGGAGAAGAAAGACATGAAATAAAATTATTACACGACCAGCAAAGACCATGCAAAAACAGATCTTGTTGCCCCCAAAAATCGATCATTTGTCCAAACTCTTACAATTATTAGCAATAACATAGAGCATCAAAACCACTAAACCCAAAAAATTTCCCCCATCTCTAGCAAAACAATGTGAATAGCAGAACATTAAGAAAGAGTACATATAATTCATTACCAAAAGAGACCTAAAAATGGGAATAAGGTTGAAATTCATTTTACAGTCCTTAAACTATGGGTGGGGGATTTTCACCCCCAGGTCTTGACTGGATACCCCCTTGCAAAATTGTAGCAATTTCTGGCAAAAAATAAAGCACCAAAATAATGGATAGTCTGGATGAAAATACTTCAAAAAAGAAAAAAAGAAGTTATACCATTAAGTGGAGGTAAAAGGAACCCTGGAAAAGATAAGAGAGCAAACAAAAAGGAAAACAGAAGGAGAGAGGACATGAGGTCCTTTTAGAAGTTTTAACTTAAACTTGTAGAGAAGAATCGAGACAGACTATTGTCTTGTCCCTTTAAGTTTACATCTAGCATTGGAGAGAAATTGGAGATTGATCACAACAAAAGTTCGGAAAAGGCCGACCAAGTCAGAGAATGAAAAGACAAATCGACCAGAAAAACATCTACCATTTTGTTTTTCCTTTTCTTCTCTTAGGTTGTTCTTTTTCTTTCACTTAACCAGAAAAACGTTATTTTCATGTATATTTTTCCCTTCCACAACTTTAATGCTTTATTTTACCTGAACGTGCCGAAACTCTAGCAGACATTCCCAATGAGTTTAAAAGGGTAAAGTAATCCACTAGCCATATTCAGGCCTGTAAATTGGATTTCTCCCCAGGAATGATGAATTTCATACTTCTTGTACATTTTAGTTGAAATGGATAGATATTTTTAGTGCCACTTCTTGTACATTTTGACCAACTAACAAAATTAAAGATCCTCTTCTATGTAGATGGTCTAAGTCCACATTCTTTCAAATGTCAGATAGACATTCCCTTTTCTTTCTGTTAGTTAAATCCCATTTTCTTTCCCTGAAAAATAAAGTTAAGACACATAAAATGCTATTCCATAAGCCCTTCTATGCCTGGAGAAAAGGAAATAAATAATACAACAAAGATGGTAGCAACTTTCTTGATTTTCCTTAGAAACCAAATAAACACAGTACTTATAAAAACAAGAAATCACAAATAAACACAAATGACATCATTTCCACCAGCCAAAGATTATTAACGGTACCAAACAGAAGAAAAACATATACTCCCTTTTTTCTCAAGTTTTATGTGATACTCTTTGCTTTTTAGTTTGTCCAAAAAAAATTATACATTTCTATATATAGAAACAAATTAACTTTAAGCTTCTTGCTTTAGCCTTAGTGAGATGATTCAAGCCACACAAATATCTATAGCCTATTTCAACTACAAGTTCAAAAGTTCTTTGCATCACAATTATGGGGAACGGAGGGAGTAATTACTAAAGAAAATATTCTAACATAAATTTACAATTTAAAGCACCAACCAACTACTGCAGTACCAGAAAAAAGAAACACATGATCACTGAAACATTATCTAAGGAGTAACATTTATTATTTAAAAAAAAGGAAGTGAAGAACTGACGCTTGAGCGAAGGATTTGAGGAAGTGAACATCCTGAGCAATGTAATGGCGGAAAGTATCCAGATTTAGGGTTCCTGATGCCAAACTAACCACAAACGGAGAGTACAGTGCGAACGTAGACTCTCTCTTGAACTTGATCCAACACTTCCTCGCTATACCCACACATTCCTCCTCTACCGGAAACTTGTTCACCGCCGCCGCCGGCTTTGGTTTCGTCGACGCCATTGTAACGGGCGATCGTAAATACCGAGAGTGACGAGGGTATAATTGGAATCCTAACCCAAAAAGCGCGTTGGAATTGGAGAATTTGATCACTGGGTTAACAAGAAAGGGCGATAATAATAAGAAGCGCATATATAAGGCAGCTTTTCTCTTTTCAGTAATTTGTGGGAATTTATGAAATTTGGGATTGTAAATGAAGAAAAGAAAATTTTTAGTGTTTGTTGTATTCTACATGGTACAAGTATGTATAATATGGAGGGAAGAGCAGAGTAGATTTTTGGTTGGGGACTTTGGAATGGAAGAAAGGAAAAGGGGAGAAAGGGAGTGAGGCGTTTGGTAATGATTTGCCACTTGGAAGTGAAAGGAGCTTCTAAAAAGTGAAACTAGCAATTTTGGTGAGGAACCAAACCACGATTGGGATGAACAAGTGGCTTTCCATGGAAAAAAGTTTAGGAATTTTGCTAAAGCACCATAGTTTAGAGCTCATTAAATATAGTTTGCCTAATTATCATTTATAATTGTAACAAATATTGTCCTCAAAACCTCTAGTAATTAAGTGGAGGCTCTAACCAACTAAAAATACGAGAGCACGTTATCCTCTTGTTTCGGTTCCAAAACAATTAATCTCTTGTTTTGTGGATTTGCTATAAAATATAAATATAATTATGAATGGTAAATTTGTTGAAAGTATAGTCGCAAATGATAATACAGTGTATATATTTAATGTGTCGCATAATTTTCCCAAAAAAGTTTAGTAGGATCTGAATTCTAAGCCCAGTCCACCAAACTCTTATTTATTATTAGAATTTTTATATAAATAGTTGGTCTAATTTTATTTTATTTTTTTACTTTTTCTAACCATTATAAATGGTATCAACATGTCGGGTTGGTCCAGACCAACCCTGGGAAAAAATAGCCAGACCAATCTCGATACTAGTTCGGTACGGGCTAATTTTACTGGGCTTAAGCGAGCCAGTCCTTGGGGTCTAAATTTGGCCCCGACGGGTCGGGCTTATAAATATTGCGTCGAGCCAGGTTTTGTAAAATAAATTATGTCCTTATAAAACTAATAAATATATTATACCATAATTTTTATTTGAATGTTATCAAATTTCTAACTTATAAATAAATAAATTAGACCTCAAACTTTAATGAGTAGATTATTAAAACTTAAATAAAAATTTAATTTATATTAAGTGAAAGTAAAACATAAATAGTAAGAATAATATTTGGATAAAACTTTCAAAGGCTTAAGAACCTGTCACGACTCGGAATCTCAACCTCGAGATCATGATGGTGCTTAATATCCACTTGCGAGGCAGGCCGACATGAAATAGATAATAAACCGATTTTAACTGTTGAAAACCAAATATTAATAATGAGAGTCTGAAGTAAAGTAAAATAATACCGAACAACGAAGTCTAAACATATCCTAGAACCTGGAGTCATGAATACATGAGCATCTAGAGTGCTACAAATAAGGTCTGAACAAAATACAACTATTTCGAAACTCAATAAAACAGTAAATATATAAAGGAAGGGGACTTCAGGGTTGCGGACGCCATGTAGCTATACCTCAAGTCTCCGAATGTGACTGAATCTGAACAGGGAGCTACTGAGCACCGCTAGGACCAATACCAGAATCTACACAAGATGTGTAAAAGTGTAGTATGAGTACAACCGGCCCAATGCATCCGTAAGTGTCGAGCCTAACCTTGACGAGGTAGTGACGAGGCTATAACAAGATACCTATGCAAATAAACCTGTATAGGTGTATATAAAGCAACAATAATAACAAAGAATGAGAACATACTAACTGGGAGGGGACATGCAAAAGGGGGAAGTTATAATAAATACGGCAAGTATAAAATCACGAAATAACCAAGTAAATTCACCAAACTGTAAATCGGTCAAATCAATGATATGAAAATGGCACGACATCACCCTTCGTGCTTTTACTCTCGTCCTCACCATGCAATAACATGAATGAATGGCACGACATCACCCTTCGTGCTTTTGCTCTCATCGTTACCTTGTAATAATAATAATAATAAATGAAATAAAATGGCACGGCATCACCCTTCGTGCTTTTACTCTACCTCACCATGTAATAATGAATAAATGTATGAAATGGCACGGCATCACCCTTCGTGCTTTTACTCTCTTCCTCACCATGTAATAATAATATGTATGAAATGGCACGTCATCACCCTTCGTTCTTTTACTCTCGTCCTCACCATGTAATAATGATAATAATATGAATTCGAATGATAGACAATGGGGAGAATAATTTAACTTCAAATACGGTGCCAAGATGTCCAAACTTCAACTTCCAAAACTATTCAATAACTTGAAAATACGCAATAAATACGAAACGAATAATCAAAGAAGTAATAATCTAACCTAAGCACGGATATCATAATTAACGAAATAATATAATACAAACAAATTTCTATCTACATGCTTTAACCCAATGACAACACATAGATATTCGTCACCTTACATATACATTGTTCCCGCACATAAAGCACATAGCAGATAGACCAACAAGTCCTAATCCCTCAAGTCAAGGTTAGCCACGACACTTACCTCACTCAGCAATCAAATCAAATCAAAGCTCAATCGCGGCCTTTCCACTAGAATTAACCTCCAAACCAATCAAATCTAACCAAATATAGATCAAACAATTCAAAATAAGCTTTAGAAAATACCCATAAGTGAAAAATATTCAATCTTTAATGTTTTGAAAAAAGTCAACAAAATTCAAACCCGGGCCCGCTAGGTCAAAAATCGAGATTCGGACCAAAACTCAATTACCCATTCAGTTCCGAGCCCGGTTATGTGATTAGTTTTGAAATCCGATCTCAATTTGAGGTCTAAATCTCAATTTCTCAAAATTTCCAATTTCTACCTAAATCCCTAATTTCTACCATGAAAAAGCATAGATTAAAGGTTGAAATTAATGGGTGTTTATGAAAATGTAAGGAAACAAGTTAAAATCTACTAACCTTTGAAGTTGGGATGAAAAACCTCTTCAAAATCACCTTTAGACCAATTTCAAACTTGAAAATGATGAAAATTGGGATAAATCCAGACTTTGGGAGATTTAAATCACTCGGCGTCAGGCCTTCTTCGCGTTCGTGAAGGGCCTGATGCATTCCCGATGCACAGCGGCTAGAATGGCCTACGCGTTTGTGAAGTACCTCATGCGTTCTCGAAGGCTTCACCCCCTGGACTTCGTGTTCGCGAGCCAGGGTTCGCGTAAAGTAACAGCTAAGTTCCTTCCCAAGCCCCTAACCCTACGCGTTCGTGAGAGGCTGGTCGCGTTCGCGACCAATCCATCGTGTTCATGATGAAAGAATCCGCCCAGCCCCAGGTTCCCCTTCACGATCTCGAGAGTAGCTTCGCGATCGCGAATCACAATGCAAAGTCCAAAAATGACCCGTAGCCTATCCGAGACTCATCTAAGCCCCTCGAGCTCCAAACCAAACATGCACACAAGTGTAATAACATCATACAAACTCGTTTGCGTGATCAAAACACCAAAATAACACCTAGAACTACGAATCGGACATCAAAATGCATAAAAGTTTCAAAGAAACTCAAGAACTTTCAAATTCACAACCGAGCATCCGCATCATATCAAACCAACTCTGTTTTACACCAAATTTTGCAGACAAGTTGTAAATGGTAAAATGAACCTATACCATGTTCCTGAACCAATATTCGAAATAGGTAGCAACAATGTCAACCTACGGTCAAACATAGGAATTCTTTAAACCTTCAAATTACTAGTTTTCAATAAATCACGTTAAATCAAGTTACGGACTTCCAAATTCAATTCCTGACATACGTCCAAGTCAAAAGTTACGATACGGATCCACCGGGATTGTTAAAATACCAATCCGGATCCGTTTACTTAAAATGTTGACCATAGTCAACTTAAATCCTTTTTAAGGCAAAAGTTCATATTTTCTTCAATTTTCACATAAAAGCTTCCCGAAAAAAACACAGACTGCGCACGCAAATTGAGAAATACTAAATGGAGCTAGTCGAAGTCTCAAAATGCAAAAATAGGGGTTAAAACTCAAAATGACCTATCGGGTGATCACACTCTCCACCTCTAAAACAAACGTTCATCCTCGAACGGACATAGAAAGGTACTTGGACAGGTGAAAAGGTGGGGGTATATACTACGCATATCGTACTCGCACTCCCACATAGTTTCCTCAATCGACTGACCTCTCCACTGCACCCAAATGAAAGGATAACTCTTATACCTCAACTTTTGGATCTACCGGATATAATGACCACCAGCCCCTCCTCATAAACCAAATCCTTGTCCAATTGAACTGAGTTGAAATCTAATACATGGGATGAATCATTGTGATACTTCCGGAGCATGGAAACATGGAACACTGGCTAAATTATTGATAAGTTAGGTGGCAATGCAAGCTTGTAAGCCACTACTCTCTCAAGAATCTCAAAGGGCCCGATATACCTAGGGCCCAACTTGCCCTTCTTCCCGAACCTCATGATACCCTTCATGGGTGAAACCTAGAGCAAAACCCTCTCTCCAACTTGAATAATCTTGACCTTTTCCAAGGCATCCTGAACCAAATCGGTACCCAACAACTGAGCCTCTCCCGGCTCAAACCAACCAACTGGAGAGCCTTCCACATAAGGCCTCATAAGGAGCCATCTGAATACTCGATTGGTAGCTGTTGTTGTAGGCAAACTCTGAAAGAGGCAAGAACTGAACCCAAGAATCCCCGAAATCCATAACACATTCGCGAAGCATATCCTCCAGTATCTAAATGGTGCGCTCAGACTACCCGTCTTTCTGGGATGAAATGATATACTCAATTCAACCCGTGTGCCTAACTCACGATGTACGGCTCTCCGGGAGTGCAATGTGAACTGCGTACCCCAATCAAAAATTATGGATATCGACATACCATGAAGATGAATAATCTCGCGGATATATATATCTCAGCCAACCTCTCTCAAGAATAGGTAGCTACCACTGTAATGAAATATGCCAACTTGGTCAAACTGTCTATAATGACCCATACTACGTCAAATTTCTTCAAAGTCCATGGAAGCCCAACAACGAAATCCATAGTAATACGCTCCCACTTCCACTCGGGAATCTCAAGTCTCTGAAGCAAACTGCGCCTCTGATCCTCGTACTTTACATGCCGGAAATTCAAACATTGAGCCACATATACAACTATATCTTTATTCATTCTTCTCCGCCAATAATGCTGCCTCAAATCCTGATACATCTTGGCGGCACTTGGATAAATGGAATACCGCAAACTGTGGGCCTCCTCCAGAATCAACTCATGAAGCCCATCCATATTGGGCACACAAATCCGGCCATGCATTTGCAAAATCCCATCATCTCAAATAGTAAGCTGCTTTGGCATCACCGTGCTTCAC